TTAAGGGGCCTGTCTATCCTGACCCTTGGAGGTATTCAGACTACTTCTCCACAAATAAATAAGCACACTCAACTTTTGATTTGTTAAACAATATTAATGTCTGTGCAAAGTGCTGTGCTAGGCATTGGAGTTAGATATTTGGCAGGAAAAGCAAGCTTTTGGTCAAAACGTTGGATGCAATGACAATATATAAACTTCAAAACTGTATTTCCCTTTCAGCTGTTATGGAGGACTTGGGAGATCGTGTCTTGGTAAGAAACACATTTTCACGATAATATTTTTAACCTCAAAGTAGGCAGACTTCTGTTTGATCCACATTACAAGCAAAAGAAGTCATAAAAGACTACATATCATATGACCATTTATGTGAAATGTCCAAAATAAGCATATCTATAGAAACAGATCACTGGTTGCTTAAAACAGAGATTAATGGGGTATTAGAAAGGTGTGATAGTGAACAGGCACACGACTTCTGTCTAAAGTGACAAAAATGTCCCAAGATTGACTGAAATGATGGTTGCCACATGTAAATAGACTAAAATTTATTGAATTGTACACTAAATTGAGTCTTTTATACTTACTACCCCCAACTTGCATGCAGCTGAACCTAAGATTGCTAGTGCAAATTTGCAAGGACACCAAATACAGACACAAATTACCTTTACACAAGCTTCAGGATGGTTTCTCCACTTTCGGCCTCAGGCTCCCCAAGAGGGAGAGCAAGAGAAAGAAGAGAGAGAAGTTGGGGGGGGGTAGGGAAGGGAAGGAGGAGGAAGGAGGGAGACAGAGATCACCTTCAGAAGTGAGCTTTCACTGGGGGGACTCTTGTTCTTTAGAAAGTTCTATCCAAAAAAAGGCCAGGAGGGGCAGGGCTAAGAGGGAAAGATGAATGTAACCCAACCCCCGGGGGCACATCCCACAAAGAAGACCATCTTACTATCCTAGCTAGAATCCACCCTAACCAGAAGGAATGCAGTGGTTGCATTCAGAATCTGAGACATAAGGACTAGAAGAATGAGGTCATTCATTGTGGCTCCCCACATATACCAATATAAATCTAGTTAGATATCAAATGTTTTACCCTATCTCTAGTTTTTTAATAATATATTATTTTTCTGGCATGTTCTCTTAGTAGCTGCTTGTCTCCTTCTATACCTATCTGACACTGTGTCACCTCAGCAAGCCATAGATAGCCTGAGAGATGTAAGAGGATCTGGGGCAATACAGACCATAAAGGTGAGACACTTGACTCTTCCTGTTTGGTTGCAGTTAGGGGCAGTCTGTTATAAGGACAGTATAATATACAACTAGAGGGCACCAGATGAAAATCCAAAGCATGCTATTGGTCAAACACTTATTTTTTAAATTTATATTTAAATATAACCAAGATATCTACAAAAGCTCAGTATTTAAAAAAATAATGACATTTTTAAACTTTCTACTTTACCTCTTTCAAGATCTACCATTGCAGTTTTTTTCCCCCATTCAGTTCTAGGAATGGATCATCTCACTTGGAATAATGAGATAATTACTATAAATTTGGTTAAGAACTAAAGATCCTATTATATCATCAAAACACTGAACAAAGATTAATAGTATAAAAAATGTAAATCAGTACTAATTGTCTTTAGCCATGGACCTCTTCCACATTTACCCTGAAGTGACCTCTTCTACATTTACCTTGCCCTTAATACTTCAAAAACATTAAAGTAGCAGTGCTAAGGATATTATATATTAATCATGATATCAAAAAGAGTCTGTGATTTCACTTTATTTGTAGAACTATGATGCTAATTTTGCCTTCTTTTTCCAAGTACCCTGTCTCAGCTCTAGGACTAGAAGGCGGGTGCGAAAGAATCCTGGCCATTAAAGCAGCTCCCTGGGCTTGAAAGTCCATCTTTCCAGGGCTGGGATGGGTATAATCTAGTATCATATATGGTGAATTACTGTAATTATTGATAAATTCACCAAGCAATTTGATTCTCAAGGATTAAATAAGGTCATTCACAAAACAATCTGTATAAGGTCTGCTTCACTGTATACATTCTGAAAAGAGAATTCCCCTTATTTTAAAATCAAATGTTTCAAATTCAGGAAGTTCAACTCTCTTTGAAACAAAATATATGGGCTGATATATGAATGAATATGCCTACCTTCCATATTTAATACTGGAAAGAATGAAGCCCACACTATTATGAGCTGTCAATTCATCACCTGGGCATTCTGTGGCAAACTAGTTTTAACCATGTTTGTGCCAATGTAAGTTGGCGGCACATGGTTTCAGTGTCTCAGAAATGATAACATCGACTTGGGAGACTGAAGCAGGAGGATAACAGCGTAGGCAACTTTGTGAGACCCTGCCTCTAAATTAGAAAAACAGAAAGGGCTGGAGATGTAGCTCAGTGGTAGTGCACCCCTCAATTCCCAGTACACACACATACACACGGAACAATATGAAATGATTGGCAGCTTGGCAGAGTGAAAATACCCTTTGGGAAACTATTTAAACTTCAAATAAATTTTAAAAATCTTTTATTTTGCTTATCTGTATGATTAGTGATGTTTGGTTTTAAAAAATATTCTCTAAGAATTGTTTCAGATAGAATATATCATCACAAAAAGCAAGAGACAGAGGCTTCAATAGCTCAAGATTTTCTTGAATATGCCATTATTATTTTTTATTTTTTAGTTATAGGTGGTTACAATATCTTTATTTTAATGTGATGTTGAGGATGGAATCCAGTGCCTCATGTGTAGTAGGCAAGCACTCTACCTCTGAGCCATAACCCCATCCCTGAATATGCCATTATTAATTGCTATAGAAAGAGCCTTCTCCTTCCTTATTTCACAGGGAAAAAGCATTAGCAAATATTTACTGCTTTTAATCCTACTTAGTTTGCCAACATAGAGAGAAAGGATTCTATAAACTTATAAAGCATTCATCCAAATTTCATGCTTTCAGATTTTGAGATAAACTTCCCCAAGTTACAAATGTTTTCTTAGCCAAAAAGATGTAGAATTGCTCTTAGCAGTTGTTTTTTTGATTCATTCCTCATTCCTGCTAGTATTGTGTATACTTTGGTAACTAGTTTTCTACAATGTATTTCAGTATATCTTTACTTTTTGCAGCAATATAATTATCTTCATGACTTCCGGGATAAACTAGCTGCATATCTATCATCAAGAGATTCACTATCAAGATCTGTGTCAAGATAAAGAGTTTCAAATAGCATATATGTATATGTGACCATGTCTGAAATTTGAGTTCTCTAGCATCATTTGTGTTGAAACCAAACTACTAGTGTTATCCACTTCAATGTAAATGTATATATGCAGATATCCCTAAAACTTTATTGACAAAATTGTCTCTTTCACTCATAACACACAGATAGGAAATTTGGTATAGTTTTCCTTTTAGAAATATACTGGCTGCTCTGGTATATTTTACCTATGCTGGGGAAAAAAAATACATGCAAATTTGTATTATTTACATGTCTGTCTCATTTTTCTACCAGTTACTATGAGTTGGCATATGGCATTGGAAGTATGAAATTTTTGTATGAGTACCCACGCTGAACTTTCACTCTCTATTCCTCCTGAAATTCTTCCATTAGTTTTTCTACTTCATAGATTTCTAGCATTGTAAGAGATCTCCCAGCACTGGATCAATCAAAACAGGTATTTATCCAACATCTGTTGGGATTTTTTCAGAGATAAGGAATTCATTGGTTCAGATAGTTGCTCCACTTTTACAGCATTCATTTTTCCACCCTAAAAACTACACAGAATGAATTTTAGTCCTCCTTTCACTTTCACAAAGTATTTGGCTACAGATTAATAATCTCTCATTCTCCCATTCCTTCACCTCACCGCATACTACTGAAATATTTTGTCTTTAAATGAGCTACCCAATACAATCATTTGGGCCATAAACAAGAATCATTTGGGTCAAAGCCACCTCTTTCCACAGATATTGATGGTTTCAGTACCACACCCATACATAGGTCCATGGCTTTTTTGGCTACTGGAGATCACAAAAGTGAATCAATGGTCATTGGCTATTACCAACAGGCTGCAAACTCATAGGCAGTTCTACAGAAGACAGTTTCATCACATCAAAATTTAAATAATCATAAGGTGCCCCAAAGTTTTCCTTTGTCTCACACTCTTCTTGCTGATGAAATACTTGAATTTCATTAAGAAAAACTCCACAACAATTACCAGCGCTGTTTGTGAACTTCAGACAAGAGCACCAGTATGTTCTATAATACAAAATCAATATTTTAATACTTTTATATATGCGCTGCTGCTAGAACTTAATATTTTATTAAGAATACTAAGCAAGATGGGTGTTCCAGATATTCCACCAGTATTTAATCTTTAACTTAGATTTCTTATCGGATCATAAATGCCAAAAGTTATAGCTAACGCAGTTTTTGTTTATTTACTTGTTTGTTTGCTTAAGAGTATAGGTTGCAACAACAGATTGGCCTTCATTATTTCTGTATTACAACCAAGTACAATTTAAAATCACAATACCTGTAAAACTTTAGACTAAAACTGACATTTACAAATCTAACATTACCAATCTCCTCATTTAAATACAGAGCTTACTCATGAATACTAGGGAAAATATTGGCATGGATTAATCAAATCTTTTAATAATCAATTGAATTTTCAAAGTACATGCATCTTAATTTCCATAACTGCATATTAAACCTTCTATATTCAAAATGCTTGACTAAATTGTTTTAATGCCAAGTATATAAGAAAACATCAATTATTCCACAGCAAGGAAACAAGGCACGATACTATTCTGAAAAAAAATTGTCCAGTTAAGTTTACTAACATGTGATTCCGATATTCTGGAAAAGTATTTTCTCTGCCCAAACTGTGTGACAGCCCTCAAAACAATTGGGGTGGGAAAGGTGAACACAAACTAGCTGTATTTGATGATATTAACACACAGACTCAACCATTACCCATGAATTACACAAAGAAATATTTGAGACTGTTTTTATTAAATGTACAAAAGCAAAATAACCAGCTCTAAGGAGTAAAGTAGGGCTACTTAAGAGCATTTTCTTTGGACAGTGATACAGCACCACCAAGCTTAAGATTTTAACAAATCGTGAGCATACAGAGCTAACCACATTTTATGTTTCTTTTAGTAGTTTTAGGGTCTATCTAATTATCAATCTATTTAAGAAACTTTTCTTCTCCAGAAAACATAAACATAATCCAAAGAAACTGTAATATTTAGAAAAAGCATTATAAAATATAATTAACATATGAGAGATGCAATTCATTCCTTTACAGGTCAAGGTATCTTCTATATTTGTACAATGTGCACTAAGAACATTAATGCAGAACAAAAGCCTTACTCCAACACTGCTGACTGGTATTCGTACGTGGTTAATACTATTTTCCAAAACAAAATGTTATCTACTTCTTTTTTAGACATTTATCTTTCTGAATCTTAATCAAAGTAAAATTGTTCTAAGAAATATAGTCAATATATCCAGAAATAGAGCCACGCTTTTTCTCATGGCATCACTCTGGGGTATTAGTTCAGAACCATCTCCTCTAAGTTATAAACTAGTACCAGAGACTTTCTAGCCACTGGTCTGACTAAAGATCAATGATGGGTTTGAGCAAAGAACTTAAAATTATTTGAGACTAATAGTTTTCAGAAAGGATGAACATGAGAACTTTTATGAACAATTCTTGACAAGGTACCAGTATTTTTCTTTCCTCTCTAAAATGAGGGAAATTGTTTTTTAATATAAATCATTATTTGAATGGGCTTAATATATCATAGTGCTGTAATATTTTCACACCTAAAATGAAAGCTCACCCATGCAGGGTAGAAAAGATACACAGATGTCACTAGTTGCTCCGTGACAATAATATTCTATGAACAGTATTCATAAATATATAATTAGAGAAGTGTTATATAAAGAAAAGTATTTTGCCACATAGTTTTATTTCTTTTCTATGCAAATATGAGACATACCTTCAAAGTATGTTGATATAGGGAGCAGAGGAGAGCTCTGTAAGCTCTTAGCAGGAATGGTCCTCAAGTTGAAAAATACTGAACAGACTTACAAAGAGAATCATGCAGCAAACTGCCCTGTACTTTGTTGCCTGAGAAGAGATCATTATCACAAATGTTTTACTAATACTCGAAAGAGATTTATCTGTTCATTTCCAATTACTTTCCCTTCCCATTAAAAATAACTCAAACTTCTTATTAGCAATTTGTCTATAGCCTGGAGTGAAACTCTCCTTTACCCTACAATGAGGAGTGAAAGGGATCAATTAAACATTGTGAAAACCGTCATGTCATTAATAACATTTAGATATAGGTATTCAATAGTTTCTACCCCTACGTCTATTCAGTACTAAAGTGACCTATTACCATGATATAGTATTACTCAATAGAATAACTGCTAAACAGACTACATTAATAAGACTTTTAATTCCGGAGACTCTGTAGTATCCATAGCAACAAAGAAGTGTTGGTCATAGCTATAAATGTAGTTACACTAGACGTAATAAAGTAGGTGCAAATAGGGAAAACATCTGAGAGCTACAGAGTTCATAAAGATAAAATGAAGCATACAATATCAAAAGTAATTGTAATAAGGAAAAGAGTAGGAATTTGATATAAACTGGAAAGATTATAAATCTAGGCTAACTATGCTTCAGCTGAGCCTACAGGAATAATAGAAGTAAGACTAGGGCCATCCCAAACAAAGAAGAGAACAAATCCAATTCAGAGCAAGGAAATGAGCCAGTAGAATATTGTCAGGTATAGTATTGTTTCTGCTTTCACAAAAAAAGGCAAAAATGGGCAGATATTATTAGAGCATCCAGGTACTCAATCATCTAATCACTTATTGCGTAGGCACTAACAATCTACCAGTGAAATGGATGAACCTCACTGTGGAGATCTCCTGAGGATTCAGATGAGGACATTGAATTTTTGACAGCATGAAAACATGGCTTCCAACCAAGAAGCTTTTCATTAATCCCAGAGAAGATTATAGATTATTATAAGGATTTTGCTAAAACTTATAAAACAAAGTAGTATTTGCTAAGAGAGCAGGGGTTCATGAAAATACTTTATGACAGGAATACTAAAATTACAGTCCCAGGAAATCTATCTGTATTGAAGACTTGGCCAGATCTTTCATAATCAAAAGTACTTATTGGGGAATGGGGAGTGGATGCTGGTACAATTAAATGGATTAGAAACTAAATGACTGCATGAATCTTCAGCGCCTAGTAAGTGCTCAGTAAATAATTTACTACACAAACTGAAAAAGTCAGTTCCCTTTAGTGGTTCTCCAGATTATAAATTTAAAGGCCATTAAAGCTTTCCTTGTTATGAAATGGTTTGACTCTTCTCACCCTTCTGGTTCGACATTTTCTTCAACGTACTCACCCAAATTACCCAATCCCAAAATGTTAAATTACTCTCACAAAAGTGAAGGATTATTTCCAAGCATTTTTTCATTTGTAGAGAATAAAATAGCAACTAATACAAAAAGTTCTTAGAATCAGACTTCCACAACATCCATCAACTTCCTTGGTCATTCTGGGAATTTCCACATATTGGTTATCTTCCTTTGATGCTATGTTCAAGAAACTTCTGAACCACTTACATTATTTCCCATTTCTTTAACTTTCTCATTCCAAATAAATCAGAAGAATGCTTACAAAAGCATACTAGCCATAATTTACTTTCTTCATGAAAAGCAGCAAAAACTCAAATTTATATGTCATTTTACCTTAAAATGAGCCATTTCAAAAAGAAAAAATTTAAAATATTTTAAGTGCCACAATAATTTTTCTTTTTTAATTGGCAAGAGAAAGGATAATGCTGCACCATCAATCGTTAGGAATCTTCTCAAATGACAACAGAAATAACGTGCTTGGCCATTTAAAGATCTGGGAATTTTTTAAAAACCACAATGTAATAAATACTCTATTTTTTCAATGATATTCATATGTCTCTAATATGGATCAAGCAAATGTGAGGAGGAATAGCTATTCTTAATCTTTAAAACAATGCACTGAAAATGAGTCAATTTCAGAGTTTTATTGTATTGCACTAAAGGAACAGCAGGATGGTTATACAATTCTCTCTCTCATTCAGTTTTGAAAATCTAAAGTACTTGCAAATTCTTAAGAATACCTTTACCACCAGATTAAAACTGTAAGCATAATATAACCAATTTCTTAATAAGTAAAGTCTTACAAATAAAAACACATTTAAAATAGCTTTAAATGCATTCTTCACAAGTAATTCAGTATATATTTTTATATCACGTTCACTTATGCTTAAGAATTAAAGCAAGTATATTACTCTGATGAAAATATGGGAAATCTTTCATTCATGCAATATACAGGGATAATATTCAAGTTGAAGGGAAAAATTCCCACTCTTCTTATTTTTGTAAATGTATCCATATATAATCATCTACATGATAAATGAGGAAACCTATAAAGTTTCCCACAAGTCAGATACATATTTTCAATTCATCAGAAGCACTTGATAGCTACAGCTAATTTATAATTAAATGGCATTTCAATAAAACCAAAATGGGCCCTACAAGTTCCTATAAACAAAAGTTTCCAATGGACTAAGGACAGTCAGTAATTAATGCAATCATTTGAGGATTATGGCTGTTCCTTAAGGAGTGCAAGTTCAAACCTGTCAACACCAAAGGTAATCATTTTATATTAATTTATGCATAATTCCATTTAAATTCTTTATCCAAGTATAACATATGAAAACAGTCTTTCCACAAGCAAAAAATGTGGAAACATTTAAAAAATAAGGAGTCATTTTTTAAAGTAACTTATCAGATTTCATAGGCTATTCTTGGAACAGGATCTTGCTGGATAGAATCCCCTCATTTGGTGGCTGTTGCATGCACTTAACTGCACCAATTCTTCTGTGTGTTGTTCTAAGAGCTCACCAAAACATAGATCATGCTGAAAAGAAGAAAGAAGCTATTAATTCAAACATTCCTAATTATAAAAATTTAGTGCACAAAAAAGTTAAGCATGCCTTATACAGCAAACTAATATGTGGTACCATTCCATCAGAGAAAATGAAAAGACTAATGACAAGTTCAGTGTGATTTTAATTTACATTTATGGACTTTTGCCTAACACGACTTGGCTCGGTGTATGTGCTATAGTTGTCCCCTATTTCCTTTCCAATTTTAGCATGCAGAACAGCACAGCTGAAAGCTTAATAGGGATCCAAGCTTAGAGAAGCAATCTAAAACGCACTCTCTGGAGTTGAGTCTAATAATAGGAATGAGCATCTCTGGAGAGCTCACTTTATGCTGGGCTCATTAGGTCCCTCATATGCATTATCTCACTTAATCCTCCAAGCAGTCCTAGGAGGCAGGTACTGTTATTATTCCTATTTTCAGAAGGGAATGGTCAATTGAGGAATATTCCCATTAAAGCCTATTGCTTATAGCCTTTCTCTAATGGGAAAGGGTCTAAGCAGAAGAAAGAGGGTTTTAAAAGAGTACAAACCAACAAAATAAAGGCAGTAATAAGCATTTGATTTAGGCCTACAAGGTCCAAGAGCAATTCTACATAAAGAGTTATGTGGGAAAGGCAGAGACGCAGTTTAGAAAGCACATTCGTATCTCTAAATGGAAATATAAAGCAAGGAATTGAGAAAACTTGGTAAGTGAGTTTTAAAAGAGAACAGATGTTCTAGTGCTACCACATCCTGGTGAACATTTTCTCACAACTGCACATCTCCAACTTTATTATTCAGTAATTCATTTTTTCTTTCTTTCAACAAATACATTTTAAATAACTAATACATGCCAGCAGTGTTCCAGACATTATTACAGAAACTTACAAAGTGAAAATTAACAGGAAATTAGACCACATGAAATTTCACTGTTAACCTTTCACTATCTTTGTTTCACATATAGGCAACATCTACAGATGTACTAAGGATATTCATTTTCTCCATCATAACCTCTGAAACAACTTTATTGTAAATTTCAATCTAATACTTCATTCATGCTTTCCCATGATTAAACATTAAATGATGTAAAGAAAAACATGAAAAAACCTATAGGATAATACTTCACAAAAAGGAGAAGGAACAGAAACTGAATTATTTCAACAATTTCACCTTACAGTGATACTTTTTAAAAATACTTTGAAAACCAGTGGAAAAGCCCTCTCCAGTTTATTTATATAGCTTAAAGAAAAATTCTAATTCCACACTTAACAGTGTCCTTTTCTAGTATTATCAAGCAGTCATTTGACTGTACTTACAGTACCCCTCAAACAATAGTTCTCTACCAACACACTTTTGCACCATGGGGCATTTGGCAATGTCCAAAGACATTTTTGGTTTTCACAACTAGGGGAATAAGTATCAGTGGCCTCTAGCAGGTAAAGGTCAGGGGTGCTGCTGAACATCCTATGACCTACAGGGAAGCCTCCCACAGTAAAGAATGATCCAGTACAGAATATCAATAGTACCAAAGGTAAGAATTCCCAACCTAGAGGAACAAGGAGATAAGTCCATCACTGTATAAAGTAGAAAAAGTTGTTACTGCAACTGTAATGTAGAACTATTTTTATTTTGCTGGTCCCATTCAGATCAAGCAAACCAGAAAATAAAGAATAGAACATAATATTTATAAAGAATGGTAAGGCAAAAAAATTAAACACTATACCTGGAGAGATACTGAAACCAGGGAGAAATACTTATTTTGCAAATTTGCACAGTCTTATCTTCTCAATACAATCACTTTGCCATGGAGAACAAGGACTGTTGTTTACCAGTTAAATGTGTCTGCAAATTTAGGAAGCAGTATCTCTGCATGCCAATTTGCTGCTTTAACATGTACCTGTGTATTTCTCTTTGAATGTGTGGAAATTTGCTGGTGTGCACTGTGTTATTAGCAGTTATCACTATCCAACACACTGAGTTATTCTTCAAGTAAAACCCATATAATGTCTACAAATTTCTTAGGCAGCATAGTAAAATCATTTTCATTTTCATATTTATACTTACCCATACAGGTAGTAAAAAAATGCTAGAAGGTAAAAAGCTAACTTGCACCATCCTTCTTTCTGACAGTATGCTAAAATATCTGCATTCATGATGGTTGTAGGGTCATAGAGTCCCGGTCCACTCATCACTGGTCTACTCATGTACCTGGAATAAACACAGTCCATTAGCCACTCAGAAAGGGCAACAAACCTTCAGGACAGGAAGGAGGATTTCTCTGCTCAAACATTGTTACAATGAGAGAAGGTCAGATAGGGAAGCAAACTTACTTATAGGAGCAATTCTTTCCTTTATCATGTTAATTTTAAAACTAGAGCCCCTAATAAGCCGAACAGAATAGCTAATCAAATCATCTAGTATCTGTATTTTCAGAAATTCAAGAAAAATAGAAGTGTAAAAAAGAAACCAGGTCCTTCTAACTTTTATATCTTGGTATAATTTTAGATAAAAATGTATAAGAATCCTTCACCCAAACATTCCCATTTACCTCACCTGCATTATCCTTCTCTCTCTCATTTTACTTTTAACCATGAGTACCTTTTTCTTTGAACTACTTCAGAATCAGGTACACACATTATACTACCTTGCTCCTAAATATTTCTTTTAGTGTAATACTTCCTAAAATCAAAGGCAAAGAGATTTTGGCTTGTCTATTTAAAGCAAAAAACCATAATTCCAGCCAAGAAAAGTGGCACATGCCTGTAATCCCAGCGCCTCAGGAGGCTGAGACAGGAAGATCAAGAGTTCAAAGTCAGCCTCAGCAATGGCGAGGGGCTAAGTAACTCAGTGAAACTCTGTCTCTAAATAAAATACAAAACAGGGCTGGGGATATGGCTCAGTGGTTGAGTGGCCCTGAGTTCAATCCCCAGTACCAATAATAATAATAATAATAATAATAATTCCATACAGGGTAGATATAAGCATTTGAAGTTATAAAATATGGTTATCTTCTATAAGTACATAAATGGTTGTAAAGTCAAAGTAAATGTGACGAAAGAAGAAATGCACCATATATTTTTATTTATATGAAGTTTAAAGACAGGCACAACTAATCTAAGTAGACAGAAGTCAATGGTCTTGGCAGGTGTGGGAGTTACTACCTGGCACAAGGGAGACTTCTGGAGGATGAAACTGCTGTATGTCTTGATCTGTGTGGTGTTTCACAGATGTATGAATACATAAAAATTCATTAAGTTGTACACTTTGGGCTTGTGCACATTACTATACAAATCATACCTCATCTATTTAAAAAATCCTTTAAAAGGTAATGACGTAAGCTCGTAAGAAGTATTAAAGTTATTTGTTAATCCATTTGATATTTTTAAAAATAAGTGCTAATTTTCAAATGTCATTTAGATGAATAGAATACCACAGTATAATTAAATTTTAATTAGGAAAAATATTAAAAGTATATCTAAATATTACCTCCAAATATGATATGCCAAGAGGGGCATATTGAGACCCAGTGTAAGCCACTCTGCTGCACAAAGAAACATGACACAGAAGAAAGCATGGATGAGGTACTCTGGAAGTACAAGCTGGAAGAAAAATACAAATCCATTACGAAAATGCTTTGGCAGTAGATCAACTGCTAATCTGAAAACCAGGAGGAAACCAAATTTCCAATAAAAAAAAAAAAGCACTGTTTCCTTAGAATCAGAAATGAAAGATGCTACTGAGCTTTATCTCCACATTTGGCTTTTTGTCAAAAGCAGAATTACAAGCAAACTGACCAGAGGATATATAGTTTGTACTAAAAAGAGTAAGATATGACTTAAAATTTAAAACCCAAAATTCTTACAGCAGCACATTAAATTATAGAAAGTAACCATCAGGGTTGTTCAGTTACTTGCTAGTCAGTTGGAATACTTTTTATTTCCACAACTTAAAAAATGATAAAAATACAAAAATGAATTATCTGATCACATGCAACATGATTTTTTAAAAATCCACAAAAACAAAACTCCCCTTTAGAAGTTTAGACATTAGTGTTTTTCAGCCTTTAACAAAAACCAGGAATGCTACAAATACAATGTCTAGCAAATCACATCACATTACCACAAAAGTAATTTTTTAATGGAAAGCCAACCAGCCAATAATCTCAGCACAGGGGGGGAGGAACACTAATATGCACAAATGCAAATGATGTGCTTTCTGCAATGTAGGAGGGAAAAGACTGAATTTTTAAACATAAAATTAGAATTTTCCAGGTTCCTGAATTCTCATCCTTACATTGCCTTTCAGTTCCTTTACTCCTGCTTGTCAGGAAAATGCTACATGGCAGAAGACAAGGAGAAATTCAGAACTCAAAAAGAGCATAAATCTTTTGAAAGTAAGTAGTATTGAGTGAGAAAAATTAATTCAAGCAAAATGCTTTTTATAAATGACCAAGACTTACTGCTTTATTTTAAATCATCTTTCTCATCCCAAAGATTTCAGACTAATGATTTTGTTAAATAAAAAAACCAAAACCTTTCACTGCAAGTTTCAGCCAAAAAAATCTCCCAAAAATCACAGCTATAAAGCCAGTTTCACAAATGTTCATTTCATACCAAGTTAAAATCATATGAATTCTTCACATAATCAGATCTTTCCTGAAGGGAAACTGTGGCTATAGAAATAATATAATTACACCACACAATGAAGTCCATTTTCTAACACTCACTCCCAAATTTTCCAGTTGAAAGTTAGAGAGAACTATTTTTTTTGTTTGTTTGTTTGTTTTTTGATGGTGCTGGAAATGAAACAGTGCTTGTGCATGCTGGGAAAGTGCTCTGCCACCTATAGTCCTAGAATGCACTTTTTAATGAATACTATCTTAAATGAAATCTTGTTAAAAATCAACTAATCTATGCCACTAACCAGAAGTTTTCTTCAAACTTAAGCAACAGAATAAATAACAAAGGTAAATTCTGCATATAAACTCATAAATAAAAGAACCTTTAAGCCAGCATCTATTTAAGATCAAAGTTCTCTAAACTAGTGTCCACAGGACATCTTTGAAATTAAATAACTACAGCTAGAACATACCAAGAAAAATATATATTAGGAGCATCATTAAAGTTGCTTTTATAACACTAATTTAAATTACAGGATAAAATATAACAAAGTCTATTTCAGTCCTCTAAGATCAACTAATACCTAACAATACAAATTATCTTGGAAGGTTTTGCCCTACACTTGCAGACTGAGGTATGGAGAGAGAATGATTTTGAAATCAGGATGATTCCCATTGCACTTAACCAATTTTAAAGAGTATTTAAAAGGTAATTGTGACTCTACCAGTCAAACATGAAACAGGAAACAAATTTCACTCCCTCCCTATTCCTCAAAAAAAGTTCAGAAACATATTACACATTTCTCACAAAAACCAGTCCTTCTTCAATGATAAAATTTCACCACAAGTACCACAAACATTTTTCTACTTAGGAACCAAAATGTACACAAAAACTAGTATCCAGATAAAAAATACCTCATGCAAATATGGCTGAAATGACAGAACTTAAAACATGCAAAAACATAATATTCTCCTGTTATAAAGTTCACATTTTAAAAATAATATTTGTCTTCCCCCATACTTTGGCAGAACTGTCAAAACAAATTAAATAGGGAAAACTGTCAGATGCACTGCTGTTCAGCCAATTATCGGCACCCTATCCAAAATGCAACTTGTGCTGCTATTATACTGACCTTCAGACCTCCTGAAGGATCATGATGTCCCCAAGCACATGTCTTTTCTCAGTGAGAATTTCATTCCATTAAGAAATCACACATTATATATTAAAATGAAATTAGTCCCTCTTAAAGTTACAGTAAATTAGGAAAACACAAGAACTTCAGCTTCAAAAAGTCAGGCTGTCTGGATTCAAATTCTGGTGCCTACCTTAGCTGTGTAACCTTCAGCAACATGCTTCAATCTCACAAAACACCTCAGTTAAGGGTCCTAATCATGAAAATAACAATACACCTACTTATTAAGATTGTCATGAAAACTGAATGAGAAAAGAAATCCAGAGAACGTGCATATGAGCACAGAGCCTGGCACCCAGCAGGCTGATTTCAGCTGAACTGATTTCAGCTATTTAATATGCTCATCATCATTTGGTTATTTCAAGTAATGCAAAGTCAAAGGTCATACAATGCTATTAAGCAAAAGGAGAAATTTCAGTTTCTTAATTTCTTGGTAGCAATTAGTTTCAATTACTAAGGTAAAAATGTTTTATAATAATACACAGTACTTTCCAATCAGGAGAGTTATCATCTCATGTTTTGCTTCCTAAGAGCAGAGAAGCAGCTAGTAAGTTAAAACTTTTAACTGTTCCTGCATCAAAACTGTACCTACTATAACAGGGCCCTAAGAACAAAACAGAAATCTATATTCCATCATTCACATTTATAAGAAAGTAGCCAACTGAGTTTATAGGTGCTTTTCCAAATAAGACCCTCTACTATGCTAGAGCATTAGAGTTTGACACAACTACAGTCTACACAAATTCTAACCTTCAGTAAGAAATTTTTAAAGATGAATTACTGTTTTCTATTACTTGAAGATATACCCACTAAAAACTTTTCAGTTTCTGACCAATCAAGCAAAATCAAACCTAGAAATTAAAGACAACTCCTCCTAAATGAAGCAAAATATATGTATATAAAGCCCCTAACAATAACAGCCACAATATTACTAAATCCATAGCTCAGAATTTAGGATAAGAAATTTAGAGTAGATAGAATACACTAGAAATAACTATGTAAACATTCAGTATATGAATTGTTATCTTCAAAATTCAGGCATCTATAGAGTCCAAAGGACAGCATTACAAGATTCCAGAACAGAGCTATCTACCTAAAAGTCTCTAAATAAACATCAGTTGAAAGATCAAACTAGTTTATTCAAAAACATACATAATCACAGATAAAACTAGATATGGCCGGTGAATCTATACTACATTTGCATACTACTACATAGTCACAAACCAGGAATAAACTCACAATCTATTAAGTCATTTTATGCTAACCAACTTCCAAATACAGCACCAAATAATTTAATATAGATGTGCCTATGGCCATAACAAAAAAAAATGCATAAGCATTTAACAGCTTTCCCTACTTGACTGGGCCAGCAAGCAAACATTTGCATAAAACATAAAGTTTCATGAAATAATAAACCTCAACAGGCATATGAACGAGCACACTGAACAGAACAGTACAAATACAAATGCCCTAACCCTCCCCATGAAATGAATGCAGCATTAAAACATTAAACTAAAAAGCAGTACACACCTTTAGTGCAATTTTGACTCTTTTAATCTTTTTGACCTTTTCAACTGTCTTTGGCCGACAATGTAAAAAGCAGATTGGAAGAATGTTAGTATGACAGCTGATAAGATCACCAGTAGATTAATAATTGTCAGAACAGTCAAGCATGACAGGAAAAGAATATTTTTCAAATTCTGCCTACTTCAAAACATACAAATATATCATGCTACTGAGAATATTGGCCATTTTCAAAATATATCAAGTAAAAAGCAAATACATTTTAATAATCTAAAGATACATCCTATATTACAACTTACAGGATTCAGGGTATTACACTGGTCTATAGGATTCTTGTAATCAGTCTTCAGCTCATCAAATGCTATAATCTAAAATAAAATTTAAAAAGTTAGAACCACTCATTTCAATAAAAGCAGGAACAAACCTGCCCCATCGTCAAATAATTACTGAATAAATAAAGCAAAAGTGCATTTACAGGTACCAAATTTACAGTAACTTCAATATATGCTAAATAATAGAAGTACCAGAATTGGATTTAAAGAACTTGTAATACTTTTATGTCATGACTATTGAAATGATCTGATAAGCAGCTGAGCACGGTGACATATGTATGCTATTCAGGAGACAGAGCAGGAGGATCTCAACCTTTGTAACTTAGTAAGACCCTATCTAAAAAAAAAAAAAAATTAATTAATTTTTTTTAAAGGACTGGGATGTAGCTCAGTGGTAGAGCACCCTGGGTTAAATAACCAGCACCCCCCCCCACACACACACACAAAAAAAAAAGATAATAATATTAATATAAAGATCTGATATCACTGTGATCATTCTTTAATTTTCAATTTCTTCAATGTCTCTGTTCAAGGTTTTGTTTGTTTTTTAATTTAAAATGAACTTTCCCTCTCCTACACAACTATTAATATAAACTCCTCTTTATCTAAAAAACCCTCTTCCTGTACGGACCCCCTCTCTGTAGGTTTTCCTAACTCCCTTGCATAGAAATAACTGCATCCCTGACTACAACTTCATGTTGATAAGGCTATCAATATGGCATTTCTCACACTGAAGAACAGTATAGGTTTGTTCATCCCACTTAACAAAAAGGAGTATCATTTAAAAATATCTGTATATGACCCTGCCCCCCCCAATCAGTGTTTAAAGAAACACTTGAGATGAACTCAAACACTTCAGTGTATTCCTATTTGTGTCCAAACACATAAATTTCTAAAAATATTTTCGTCCATACTATGGAATAATATGGCTTTAACATAAAGGGTTACTAAAACACAGAACTTCAAAGTCAAAATATACCAATAGAGGCTTTATACCACTCTATCACCTTAATTCAGGTGTTAAAGAAACCAAAGCAGCAGGTGTATGAGGAAGCTGTTTTAAGTTGCTGTCACAGGTCACCCACAGGACACGGAACCTAACCTACTCTACTTAACCTACTTACCCCTGGTGATTTAGGAATAGTATCTATAGATGTTATATAGTATTACTCAACATTGTCAGTGATGAAGAGTTATAATATTTCTAGCTTTTAATATGCTTATTTCCCTAAAGTTCTTAGTTTTGTTTTTTAAAAAAAGTTAAATCTCTAGTAGAATTTTATAAAATTCATCAATCTGCTATAATAAAAACTCCAACCAGGGGCTGGAACAGTAGTAGCTCAGTGGTTGGAACACAGTGCCACATATGTGAGGCACTGGGTTCGATCCTCAGCACCACAAAAAATAAGTAAATAAAGATTATGTCCATCTACAACTTAAAAAAAAAATCCAACCAAATAAGAATAGAAAGAAAATAATTAAACATTAAAATGTAATCTTCAGGGGTTGAGAATGTGGCTCAGTGGCAGAGTGCTTGCCTAGCACATATGAGGCACTGGGTTCAACCCTTAGTACACATAACAAATAAAATAAAGGCATTTTGTCCATATACAACTACAAAAAAAAAGTAAAAAAAAAAAAAAAGTAATCTCCAGGAGAGCAAAGAATCTCTACTAATATGTCCCATGACCTAAAATATAATATAATACCTATTTAAGTGTTCAAAAAATTCATTCATTCACACACATTTAAGTGTTAAATGTTCATTTGTTGAATGGAAGGGGATAAAAAAGTGAAGGAAAAAAAAATTGGATAATTATATGAAAAAGTACAGAACTCACCAAAAGGGATTTCTTTTCTTTTCTTTCTTTCTTTCTTTTTTTTTTTTTTTTTTTAAGGTACTGGAGATTGCCACTGAGGTATACCCCCAACACATTTTATTTTGAGACAGGGTTTCACTAAGTTGTTTAGGGCCTCACTAAGTTGTTGAGGCTGGCCTTGAACTTGCAATCTTCCTGCCTCAATCTCCTGAGTCTGAGGGATTACAGGTACATGCCACCTCGCTCAGTGGAATTTTCCTTTGCTAATGATTTCTAACACAGATAAAAGTTAAATGTATAAATGTGTAATTAGAAGAAAACAATTTCTGATTAGTTATGAATATTGGTCAGCTACATGCTATTAGCTATGATATATCCCCAATGTACTTTACTAATAAAAGTTCAAAATGAAGACTATAATTGCAACAAATGCAATTACTTGCTTAAAACAATATTCAACTTAATAGCAAAATGAATACAAAACTTATTTTTAAAATTAACTTTTCTGATTGGACATTTTCTTCTGGTGACTTTAAGGTCTTTTGAGTAAGTTGCTGAATAGATTTCTATTTGAGTGCTGTATGCTAAAAGAGTTTTCAAAATTCTTCTGAAAATATTCTTAAAACTAGCAGCTTTTAAACCTTTTACAGCTATGCAACTGAACAAAAACATTCACAAAATATTTCACAGAAGTGTAAAAGCAATAAAACAGATAAACCTTTAAAGACGCCAAAGCACACAATTCAAGGAATCTTCAAATTTGATAAAAGCCCTGAAGGAATGACTTCTGCATTTTGGGATTTTGAACCACCTAGACCTCCAATTCTGTACTACACCAAGCGGATATTTAAATTATCTTAAAAAATAAGGTTATACAGGAAATAGAAAAATTTTTAAGTATTTATTTTAAACTGTTTTCAAAAGGATGAAGTAATTCTCTGAACTAAGAAATTCCTAAGCATAAAAGTTCTCCACTATTCTGTGATACAAATTTTTAAAAATTCTATTAATAGGACTTAAAATTATCAACTTCATCCAGACACACATTCCTTTCAAAGTTGAAAGTAAATCACCCATTTTTTAAAAAGTGTAGGTCAGGTTTTCCATAAGTCAAATACAACCTGGTTTAAAAATGTAAAAACATGAAAAAGGTTATCCATAGCTCTCTTCTATGACTGTCCATCATCCTAGAAAAAAAGAACACCCATCAAGCAGAAAGTGATTTAAAGCCATGTCTGTAGATAGAAGAGAACCACACATCTTAGTTTCATCAGAGGCTAAGGCAGGGCTAGTTGGCATCTCACTTTATATTGTTTTTGGTTTTGGTTTTTGGTCCTGAGGACTGAACCCATAGGTGCTTTACCACTGAGCTACATCCCCAGCCCTTTCTATTTTTTTGAGACAGGTTGTTAATAAGTTGCTGAGGGTCTTCCTAAATTGCTGAGGCTGGCTTCTACCTTGAGATACTCCTGCCTCAGCCTCTCAGTGAAACCTAAGATGCTCTTTAAGCTTTTGGTTTCTAATGACAAGATTTTTAGATAGCAGTTACTTCTGACACGTGAACAACCTATGCATGTGGTACATAAGCAGGCGGTTTTAAATAAGTAGAAACACACTTTTAGCAAAAGGTGATAGATGTGATAGCCCTCTATTTTTGAGGCTTTTTTTTTTGCATATGATACTGAAGCAATTTAATCATTCTGTCCAAGTCTCACAAGCAATGGTTGTCATGAAACCTGAGTGAACATGCTCAATCATTCAAATTAATACGAATATCCCAGAAGGTACTAGAACATGGGGGAAGACAAAAGCAAACATGAAACAATTTTTTACAAATGCTGATTTCCAGAAAGTTCTCAATGCTAATTTTATGCTAGAAAAACAGAAATCCTTTTAAAAAGTATTCTTGTAGAACTATGTCACAGTGAACTTAAGACTTATTCCTTATAGGGCACAGTAAAGATGTGCAACATGATACAAGTAACAGAAATAAAACTGTTCTTGAGAAGCTTGAGGTTTCTGAGCATTTTCAAAATCTAATTAAAATTCCCTCTACTAAATCAAGCTCCCCTGAATACAGGGGGTGGTTTGGAAGACTGTCTCTTCAGAAACTCTTGCGGATCAAGTACTACTTAGTGGGAAAGCTCGGACATGCAATTAAAAAAGCAATCGATCCAACCGGCATCAAAGTTCACCAGGAAATAGGGTTCCGAAAAATGATGATTCTGCTTGAAAGGCACCCACCAAGTGCTGAAAAGTAGAGTTGGAAATTCATCTAAAAATAGGTTATAAACTACCCCATCTTTTGGCCAATGCTCCTGCGGAAACCCTAGAAAGACAATCTACACAAGAATAAAAATTCAGAAAACTTGACGTTAAGTACTCTGTGCGCACCTGACATCCTCCCGGGATGCGGGAAAGCGGACCGGCAGAGGGTCCTGCGAGCCCGGCGCTGTCCCGAGGGCCCACAGGCAACGAGGTTGCCCCACCCAGCCTGAGAGGAGTAGCGGGGCGAGGCCTGCGCCCCTAACACCGCCGGCACATCCATTCGCGGCCGCAAGCCGGGGCTCTCCTGAAGCCGCAGCCCCCGCCCGCAGAAGAGCGCGCGCAAACCCCGCACTCGGGGCCCTCGCCGCCCTGCCCCATCTCCGGTGCGCGGACCTCGGGGAACCGGCATTGCCCGGACCGCGGGCCCGAAGCGACAGGAAGCTGCGCCACGGCCTCTCCTTCTTTCCCCCGACCCCAGCTACTCACGTGCCAGATGGCGAAGAAGATAAGCGCGGCGGTGAGCAGCAGCGCCAGCATGTAGCAGAAGGCCGCGAACGTGAACGCCATGGCCGGGAAGGAGGAGCTGGCAGCGGCGCCGGTGCCAGCGGAGAAAGGCGGCGCAGGGCCCTCTGGGTAAAACCATTCACTTCCCCCGGCCACAGCCACGACCGCCGCCGCTGCCGCGGCGCCCGCCTTCCCAGCGCGCCTGCGCACCTTTTCAGTCGCGCCGTCGCCCTCTGATGGCCGGAGTCTGCGTCGCACCTGGGTTGTCCACACAATTGATTGATTTGTCCTTCATTCTCCAATGTGTTCTTTGAATAAATATTTATTGAATGAGTGTCTAGTTTGCTGATTTGTACTATGTTTATCCTTGAGATACAAAAATGAATAAGATAGTACTTGTATCGAAAGAACTCAGTTTAGTACCGGAAATGAACAACTAAATAAATAATGATTGTATTAAAAACTGTAAAGAGATCTCTGTGGGATGCTACCAAAGGTCTAAGAAGGGTTCCCAGCCCACCGTGGAGCATTTAGGTAAAAAGTATTTCCTAATCCCAGACTTACACAATAAGTAGTCGTCATTCAAGCAAAGAGATGGTAGAATTGGCAAGGCAAGGAAAAAGTTCCCAACCAGCAAAGACACAGAGATTAAAAAAAAGAAAAGGAAGAACAAAAGTTAGGTGTTTTAGGTGAAACCAGAAGCATTTCTGTATTAGTCAACATTAGTGCAAGATAGAGAGTTAAGAGTTAGAAAAGAGTTAATCGAAGATCAGTTTATAGAGAATGGTAAATGCCTGGCTAGGAAGCTAAGATTCATATTCCGTAAGCCCAAGTTTTTGAAACATTTTTTGCTCATCACACACAATTAGAAAGATTTCTTTCATTGCAACCTAGCGACATCATAAACACATCACATTTCAGAGAGGTGGACATCTTGGTATAGAGACAAATAAATATAAATAGAACCAAAACAAAAATTTCACAAAACAGTACTAAAGAGTCTGTAAGTACTTTTTTTTCTATTTTGTTTTTAATTTTGGTGGTAACCCATAACATTGATTCACCACCCACTGATTGCTAGTGATGGAAGTGGAAGACATTGACGGGCAAGAGACTGGCATATTTAGATTTGCATTAAATATTGCTCACATAATAAACTGTATAGAATGGTTTAGAAGATGGGTCTACCCAGTAATGTCCAACAGAATTTTCTGCAGTATTGAAAATTTGCTATACCAGTGCTGTCCAATCAGAAGTCAGTAAAATTTAAACTTTAAATTTTACATTATTTAATTTAATTAAAGATTTGAAAGCCACATTCAGCTAGTGTCTATTGTACTGGACAGGGTACGTCTATACCACCAGGATTAAATGGAATCTTTGTGCAAATTGTAAAGGTACTTTCTCCAGATAGATAGAGGTCCAAACCAGAGAAGAGAAATGTAGGCTATACTTCAACTTCACTAACTTCCTTGGCCAGACCCCTGTGTGCAGGATACTGTTTGATAGCAAGTTGTTTGGTTGTACATGGTGATCCTAAGTAATGGTCCATCAGAAGTGAGCTCACAGCAATTGTCCAAGCAAAAGTTGCTGTGAATCTGAACTAAAAACAGTGGAAGCTAAGCCCCAAAATGAGTGAACATATTTGGTAGCATTTGAGAGACAAGCTCAGCAGGACTTGATTAATTAAATTTATGGTGAGAGAAAGGAGTGTGTGTGTGTGTGTGTGTGTGTGTGTGTGTGTGTACCAGGGATCTAACCCAGGGGCACTTTACCACTGAAGTAACCCCAGCCCTTTTTTATTTTTTATTTTGAGACATGGTCTCACTGTGTTGGTGAGGGTCTCACTAAGTTGCTGAGGCTAGCCTTGAATGTGTGATCCTCCTGTATCAGCCTCCCAATTTACTGGGATTATAGGCATGTGCCACCACACTGGGCCAAGTCCCAGAATTCTTTGGAATTTGCATTAACTCTTTCAGTCTATGGGAGTACTTTTACAATCCTGTTTCTACTAGTATATATGGATAGGGTTAAATGATATTGAAAAAAAAAAAGACTGATCTTATAACTCCTTTTCCCTTGCCTTCTTTTTAAATATTTACTTTTTAGCTCTAGGTGGACACCATATCTTTATTTTATTTTTATGTAGTGCTGAGAATCTAACGCAGTGCCTCATGCATGCTAGGTGAGCGCTTTACCTCTGAGCCACAACCCCAGCCCCTTCCCTTGCCTTCTTTCTTCTTTTTCCCTTCCTTCCCTTAAATTCCTTTGTTCAAATTGTCTTTCTAGCAATTTATCTCCACAGCCCTTACTGACCATGCTCCCAACTTGGACACCTAGACACAAATCAGGCCCTGGAGACCTGAGAAATAAGGCCCAAAGCCAAGCATCTAGTCTAAGAAAAGACCAAAGAAAGTTCAAATATACAACTGAGAAATGTTTCAGCTCCCCAGACTAGATAAAGAAAGCCAACATTGAAGAAAGGGGAAGGGAAGCACTAAGTAGTTAGGAGTATGTGAGTTTAAAACATCTCCAGCCTCTGTGGGAACAAGCACTGCTTTGCCAGACTCCAGGGAGTCACATGGAAGTTCAGATCAATTTTTCTTTTGGTTTCCCTTGGCGCCCTGTGGGTGTCATTTGAGGGCTGCCAGTTGACAGCGGGGCATATTTTACCATGGATCATCCAGGTGGGAGTGACTCTTGGCACTCTGGTCACCACCTCTTTCAGTCCACACTACGGAGACAATCCTTGTTCTTTGGCCCAGGAGATTCATAAGTCCCACACCCACTCCCTGGGAAGGAAGGAGTAGGATACTTAAAGACAGGTGGTAACATAAAAAGGAAAGCCCCATGCTGGTGTGAATGACCTTCAATCAACTCAGGACTCCCACAGAAGTAGAAGGCTACAAGTCATCCCAGTTATAAATATCATGAAGAGTCCACAATGCTTTGGGAATCTGAACCCTTGCCTTTTTTTTTGTTGTTGTTTTTTTTTTTAGAGAGAGAGAGAGAATATTTATTATTTTTTAGTTTTTGGCGGACACAACATCTTTGTTTGTATGTGGTGCTGAGGATAGAACCTGGGCCACACGCATGCCAGGCGAACGCGCTACCGCTTGAATCACATCCCCAGCCCTGAACCCTTGCCTTGAATAAGGCATTTCCAAGAGGAAAGAACCCTGAGCACACAAAAAAATTATAACCAGCAATTCCTACTCTTCCAAAAGAGGTTTACATATTTCCAAAAGAGAAACTATCTTGCCTGGATTAGGAACGTTTGTGGGTGGCTTATAGATGTAGATATGTGCCTGTGACTAAGCCTTGTAAAGAATAGCTAAGAAGCTAGCAAGAATGGGATGGATAACAGAAAGTATGAGTTGTCCCCAAATCCACCCCACTCTTCCTTATTCGTAGAGATTAGAGTTTTCTTAAGGGTTCGTGACCCTCATGCTATATGCTCAGACAAGGTCTTGGGAAAGGTAGCCTTCATCCCTCCAGAGTATAATAGAATACGATGACTTTCATTTGCTTTCAGTGTGTGCTGAACTGACAATCTGTCGTTCATGATTTTTTTTTTCTTTTTTGGTAATGGGGAGTAAATCCAGGGGTGCTTAAACACTGAGCCACATCTCCAGCCCTTCTTTGTATTTTATTTAAAGACAGGATCTCACTGAGTTTCGTAGGACTTCATTAAATTGCTGAGGCTGGATTTGAACTCATGATCCTCCTGCCTCAGCCTCCCAGGCCCCTGGGGTTCCAGGCATGCACCACCATGCCAGGCCCTTTTTATTTTTTATTTTGAGACAGGGCTTCAGTAAATTACTGAGGCTTACATTGAACTTGTGATCCTCCTGCTTCAGCTTCCCAGGCTGAGAATACAGGTGTGAGCCACTGTACCCAGCTATTTTCTTTTCACTAAAGACATGTCTAAAACATCAGGCTAAGACTGCATTCAAGTGGCACGCATAGCCAGGTGCAGTGGCACAAGCCTGTAATCCCAGGAGTTTGAGAGGCTGAGGCAGGAGGGTTGTGAGTTCAAAGTCGGCTTTGGCAACTTAGTGAGGCCCTAAGCAACAAAGCAAGACCCTGCCGCTAAAAAACACATATAAAAAAGAGACAGGGATGTGGCTCAGTGGTTAAGTGCCCCTAAGTTCAATTCCAACTACCAAAACAAACAAAAAAAAGTGGAAACCATAGAACTGTCCAGCAGGATGTGGTTTCTCAGTATCAGTGTGAATCAACTTGGCCTTTGCCCTAGGAAGGGCTGTTACACACTCATTATGAAGGAAATAATGCGTAGAAATTACTGAGTCAACAATCTCCCATATACAAGAATATGCCTCCTTAATGTTCTTATTTTTTTATGTGCTCTCTTTTTCATAAAGTCACATAAATGGACAGTTTAAGGATGGTGAAATGCAGGTCTTAGCAAGTGTACAATTCAAGGAGTTTCAATACCAACACATGCACATACCCATGTGAAGACTCTTCCCCAGGCAAGGTAGAGAATATTGCCATCACCCCACAATGTTCCCTCCCTAGTCTAATTTTTCTCTTCAGCAGAGAACAGAATCTCCATGTTTTTAAACTTCACTAAATGGGATCATTTGATTTGTATCCTTTGGTTCTGGCTGCTTTTTTTTTTTTTTTTTTTTCTGCCTAATGTTCTGAGGTTTCTCTTTGAGATTCATCCATCTTGCTACATGTATCTATAGTTCATTCATTTTTAAATCAATCTTATTATGATTTACATAAAACAAAATGTACTCAGACTGAAGGTACAGTTAATGAGTTTATATAAAATTATAGACTCAGACAACCACCCACAATCAAATTGTTCAACATTTACAACACCCCAGAAAAGTTACACCGTGGTCTTTCCCAACCCATACTGCAAGGCAACCACTAATGTACTTGCTGTCAATATAGACAACATTTTTCTTTCCTAGAGTAGCATCATTAAAATTATGCGGTATGTCCTTTCATATCTGGTGTATTTCATTGAGTTGTATATTTCTGAGATTTATCCATATTGTTGTTATTAGTAGTTCATGCCTATTGCTCTGAAATATTCCAGCGTATGAATACATCACAATTTGTTTATTCTCCAACTCTTGAACATTTGGATCTATTACAGATAAATTAACTACAAACATTCTTGTACAAGTCTTTTATTTCTGTGAACA